GGCTCGCCAACCCCCAATCTCGGTGTAACTATGCTTCCAGTAAGTTGAAGCAGTGGGACCTCTGATAGCTCGGCAAGTCGTGGTGGGGTATTTGGTGCCCCAACAGGTTGTAGCGGGGCCTCAGGTGGCCCGGCAGGTCATGGCAGGGCTTCTGGCAGCCCGGCAGGTCGCGGCAGGGATTCGGAAGACCCAGCAAATCGTCAGCTGTGGCGGGAGCATTGAACCTTTAGCTGTTCCAATAATACCACCGGGACTGTATTTTTGGTGGTTTTTCTCACCTCAATTTCTTCTTGGGATAAGAGAATTCATCTCCCTCCGTTAGGGGCTCCCCATGCTGTATTATGTTGAATTCTAAGTTGACTATCTGAGGGAGCCTCTGTACCCAGTTGTTATCTATCTACCATCTTTTTTGATCTCTCTGAAATTCACTTTTGTCTGCAAATAGAAGAGCAGCCCCTGCTTTTTTCTGAATTCTTATTGCATGGAATATTGTTTTCCATCCTTTAACTTTCAGCCTATGAATTTCTTTTTGGATGAAATGTGTTTCTTGTTTACAGCGTATTGTTGGATCTTGCTTCTTGATCCATTCTACCAGTCTGTGTCTTTTGACTGATGAAGTGAGACCATTAACATTAATAGTTAAAACTGATATGTATTGATTTATTCTTGTCATGTTATTTTCCTATTATTTGCTCCCCTCATTTTTTCTTTTTCCTTTCTCTCTAATTGTTTGCCTTTCCTAGTGGGTTTCTTTTGTTGAGGTTCATGGAGCTGTAATCCCTATGATCTCTTTCTAGAATGTCCTTCAGAACATTTTGGATTGCTGATTTTGTGATCATAAATTTTCTCAGATGTTCTTTGTTGTGGAAGTATCTTATTTCTCTCTCAATTTTGAAAGATAGTTCTGAAAGATACATCAATCTTGGTTGAAAGTTGTTTTCTTTTATAACTTGGAGTACTTCACTCTATGTTCTCCTTAACTTGAGAGTTTGTGCTGAGAAGTCAGCTATCATTCTGATAGGCTTTCCTGTTTAAACAATTTATTCCTTTTCCCCAACAGCTTTTAAAATTCTTATGTTGAATTTCTGGAATCTTGACTATGATATCCCTGGATGTAAAAATGTTTTTGGTCTTTGCTAATTGGAGTTCGATATGACTCACTTATTTGTATATCAAATTATTTTTCTCTGCCAGGAAAGTTTTTTGTCACAATGTCTGTGAACATATTTTTAATGTCATTTGTGGTATCTCCTGCTTGTTCATTGACTCTAATCTTAAGTTACTCTTTTTTGTGTCATCTAGCAGCTTCTGGATTGATTTCTCCTGTTTCCTTGCTATTTTTGAGAAATCTTTCTTTCCTGGTCACTAACTGCAATCCTATCTTCAATAACTGAGATCCTTCCCAGGTACTGATAAAAAAGAAAAAGACCAAAAAAAAAAAAAAAACCCAAAAAAACAAAAAAAAACCCTGAGGTCCTGTCCTCATGTTGGCCTAATCTGCTTCAAATAATTTCAATGAAATTTTTATTCTCCTTTGAGTCTGCTTTATGGATTCCATTTGTTTCATATGTTGTGCTTCTATGATTTGCTTAAGCTCAAGCAAGGAGCTTTTTTGGTCTGTGTCTGCTCTAACATCACTAAGCATGGTATGTATTTTGGTAATCTCTGTAGTTATTTGAGAGATTATTTTTTGTTTTATTTTTTTCCAGAGCCTCATTCAATTGCTTTGTTACCACTTTGGAGAGCCCTGGTAGGGGTCTTTCGAATTTTCCAGTCTTTTTGCTCCCTGGATTTCCTTTTGGTGAACTGGGTGTCTGAGGTTCTGTCTTGTTTAAGTGTCTTCTTGTATTTTTTCAATGGAATGCAAAACAGTTATATACAGTATATAAGTCTGTAATATATCAATTCTGTCCTCAATGGTTAATATTCAAAATGGATTAAGAGAAAACACCAAAGTGGGAAAAGAGAAAGAGATTACAAGTAGGTTGGAGGACCAAGATGGATCCCACCAACTTGTGGAAAATGATGCAGAAAACTGAGGCGAAAGAGAGGTGGTAGAGATAAAAGGTAAAACAACAAAACCACACCCACAAGGAGGTTAGGAACCACACTCACGCTCAAAAAAAAAAAAGAGAGAGAAAATCTATAAGAGAAATAAAAAACAAATTGAATAAAACAGACAAGGAAAGAAGAAAAGATAAACAACAACAAAACAAAAGAAAAAGTGGTTCACTTCCAGGACTGTCTCTGGATTCAGTAGTAGACAACCTGTGGAGACAGTGTCCCAAATCATGCCATTGTATCCCTACAAGCCAGGAGTTGCTTTATGATGGAGTAGCAGATAACCTTAGCAGGCCTGTCACTAGACAAGACTCACTGTACTCGCTACAGTCCAAGCAATTTCCATGGGTCTGTGCCCAGCTAGGATCTGCTGGAGGAAGCTAGCAACAGTTCTGGTTCTGGGCTTATCTAGCCCAACTTCAAAATGGCATCTGAGCAATCTCTTTTCTCCTGTGGGTGGATCTAATCCTCTGCACTCACCACCAGCCAGAATAGTCTTCCACATCTGCTGCTCCTCTCCACCATGGAGCCTTTCTGCAGAGACCTCCAGGGTTGTCAATAGCCACTATCACCATAAGCATGAGCCCCAGGTTCCAGCTCATACAATGAGTCTGGCTCCAGGTGAAGGCATCACTACCTACCGCCTCCTTCTTCATTGAAGTTTTTCTTTTTACTCTCTCTGTGGGCTTTTCTTCAGACTTCAGACTCTTCCTGGGTCCAAGGGATCCACTTCCTTCCTTCTTGTCTTTCTCACGATGGTGTATTCCCACGTGTAGATGTTGGCTCTCAGAGAGGCTGTTTTCTCTGCTACTTAGTACTATGCCATCTTCCTAGGAGTCCTAATCAGCTAAATTTAAGACAGAGAAGCTATCCTAGACTACAATGAGCCCAGTGTAGTTACCAAAGTCCTTTTATGTGTAAGGGGAATATAGAGTGATGTAATAATAAAGACTAGGCTAATTATTACTAGATTTGAAGATGAAAGAAGGTACAAATCAAGGAGTGTGGGATTCTTCTAGAAGCTAGAAAAAGCAAGAAAATAGATTCTCTACTAGAACCTCCAGAAAGCTACACAACTCTGGTGACTCTTGGTCACCTAGGAAGGCACATCTTGAATTCTTGACATCCAGATCTATAATATAATGAATTTGTGTTACTTTAAGCCATTGAGTTTATGGTAATTGTATCAGTAATAGGAAACTAACCAGATTTCTGAGATCAAGGCCATATTTCATGAACAGCTAGAACTTCTTGGTAGTTTTGTGATCAAAAACATAACATGTGTTGTTGAATTGTTTTATTCAGCCATCTTCTGATAACCATTTGCTTATGCAAATAGACACCTATTTCTCCAGCGCATCTCAGTGTCACATAAGACCCAATCAATAAAAATAGCCTCTGTAAAAGAAGGCCCAATGAAGTGAATTTTACAGGGAGGTTGATTTCATCCAAGATGAAAAATTTTCTGTTAAAACCATTGAAAGAGGGATTGAACTATATTTGGTTGTTTGTTAAGCAGGGGTTAAATATGTTATGGAAATGATAAAGAATATTCATATATTAGTTGAGGCATTGAAATAGGATAACTTTTATTATTGTTGAGTCCTACTAAGGAGCTGGGAGGAAGAAGTATCACTGAAGATTGATGGACTTTCTATGTATAAGTATGGAGTGTAACTCGGACTTTGTTTGCCAAAGTCTGCGTTCTTACTATAGGGTGCTGTATTTTGATGTGGCAGTATGTTTTGCTAATTCATATAAAGTTCTTATCTACTTGGTTGTATGTGTCTTTGGAGGATTGCACTCACCCAAAGATACTCTTTTTTTTTTAAATGTCTACAAAGATGCTATATTACTAGATTACTAGATTTATGGGCCAGCATACATCATGGGATGAGGGCTGTAGCAGGAAGCTTCATGGAGTCACAGAAGCCAAGTCACTGATAAATCAGAAATTAGAAAAAGAAAAGAGGGTTATATTACTAATTATTTAATCCTATGCTTGTTTCTTCTATCCTGAAATTCTCTTCTAAGTTGTGCTGTTGGTACTGGTTCCCTCTCTTAGTTACTTTCTCCATGCTGGGACATAATATCCAACATCCACAAGTTAAAGAAGGAAAGGTTTGTTTTAGCTTACAGTTTGTAGAGTTTTCACTCAATTATTGACTGGCTGCAACACAGAGCAGCATGGGAGAGAGGCGTGGTAGAGGAGAAAGTCCCTGGGTGGTCAGACAGGAAACAAGCAACAGCAGCATTGGTCTTCTTTTTTCCTTTTATTCTGTTTAGGCTACAAGCTTATTGGTTGGTGCTACACAGGATGTGCTTTCCTATTATCCACACCCAGAACTATACTAATCCAATCAGTAGACTTAGTTGTTACCCTTAATCCATATTCATATACCCTAGATCCAGCCACCTCTGAAAAGCATCACCTATTAGTGCATGAAGCTTGGGGGGGCACCTAGAGAAAAGCCGTAACACTGCCTATTAGTATATTCTAATAGCATGTCTAACTGGGAAAAGGAACTAATAAGTCAATATAGTAGTAAATAAATATTTATAGAGTTAAATTGACATTATCTCTTTTAAGAGTTTACTGTAAAAGTTAGTTGTAAAAGGAGGGAAGCAAGAATCTATGTATTAGAAATTAAGGGAAGAGAATGTGTCTACTCAAGGTACTCAAAAAGAAGGCAGGGTATCTCTTTCTGGCTTGTAAGACTTGTCATCTGTCCAAATCTATAAAGATAAATAATGCTGTGGTACTTAAAGGCATGGGAGTTGTACATAGGCACCTTAACAACTTGGCTTCTGCATTCCTAGCACAGTCTCATTTGGCCAGGACCATCCTTGTTGCCACAGATAGACCAGGGAGTAAGATCTAGTTGGATATGGTTTCCATATACTATCCACATTTTTGTCCTGTTTTCGTATTCTTTCAGATGAGCTTTGATATGAGTCACGAGACCCTCTACTTGGCAGTGAAACTGGTGGATCACTACCTAATGAAAGCACTGTGCACGAAAGACAAGCTACAACTCCTTGGTTCTACTGCCTTTCTGATTGCAGCAAAATTTGAGGTGAGTCTTGAGTCCTAAGGTGTGGAGTGAACCAACGTTATCAGGATTCTATTCAAAACATATAATTAATATCTATATGTATTTGTGTACACACACATATACACATGTGTACACAATGTGTATATGTATCCATCTGTAGCTATCCAATTATACACAAACAATATTTTCCTACCAAATGTTTTTTTCTCTCAAAGCTGGTGCTAGTTGGCAGCGGTGGTGTATGCTTCCTGGCATCAGCAAGATTTCTTCCATTTCTTCTTTGAAGAGGTATTATATGTACATGTCTCTAATTAACTGGGTAGTTCTTTTAAAAACCTCCTACCACATGACTTTCTGTACCGACCCCTTTTCTTGCTGTACCAACTCTATCCACATTTAATGGTTTCTTTATCTGCATATATAACAAAGCATTTCCAAACTAGGGTGCTAGATACATTTAAGAGAAAATAAAAGTCAGTAAGTTAAAATGGTTCAGGTGAAGTAGTTATTTTTGAAATAATGGTATAAATGCCAGTATCGGTCTTTTTTTCATGACCTCAATCCATCTAGCTAACTTTTCTGGTTCTGTTCCTTTTCCTAGGTATTAACTGATCTTGTTCAACTCTCCTTTTTTTTTCCATTATGCTAGTTGTAAGAAAAGTTAAAGAGCAGAGAGAAAACAAATCTTGTGAAGGAAATCAAAGAATTGTAGAACTATGTTTTTGTTTAATTGTGTGCTGGTGTTATAACTTAGATCCAAAATAGTCTCCAAATATCTCACATTTTGGATGTGGGCACTGTATGGATGGGTCACTAGGAACATAACTGGAACAGTTATATTATCATTCCTGGCTCCTACCTTTTTTGTCTCCTTTCTAGATGCCATACAGTGATGGCATGTATTTTTCTGCTGCAATGTATTGTCATACCATTTCTGCTTTGGAACCAGCTGACCATGTATTGAATCCAACAAAACTTTGAGTCAAAACAAACCTCTCCTTTAAGTTGTGGGCATTTGGTATTTTGTTGCAGCAATAGGAAAGTGATTAATAGAGAAAACTGACTATAAGTGAGGCCATTGCTTTGACTAGACCTGCCCATGTGGGTTAGAAGTCTTTGGAAATGGTTTCTGAGAGGGATTGGGAAAGATTTTGAGACACAGGCTAGAGAAGTCATGAAATGCTGTAAGCAGAGATTGATAGGAGATTCTGCTTGGAGCTAGGGAGAGGAGAATATTAGCAGGAGTGTGCAAAGTAAAGGTCAAGCTCAGGTTTCAGTTTGAACAAGAACTCCATTGGTAGACCAGAGGACCTGTGCATTATACTCTGGCAAAAATTTTGTCTGCATTTACTCATGTCTTGAGAGCTTGTGGGAGATGGAGATTAAGGGGGTACCAGACTAATTTGGCAAGGCACTTCTAAGGCAGCTCAAAGTTTAGGCTGTAGCATAGACACTGCTAGGTAGTTTTAGCTAGATCTATAATGAGAATCAGGAGCAAACTGCAGAGTTATGATTTTTTAAAATTTCATTGGTAAATTTTAGATGCATGTGATGACAATATCAATTATAGGGAATTTGTACTTGCACATGGTATGATTTGTAAGGTTTAGAGTTTTGCCAGAAAGGAAGTGCTTGCAAATTTGGGGCAAATAAGAATATGATTGCTGAAAAGATTAATATTAAAAAGAAGCCAAGTATTTTGTACAGGGATAAGAAGACAGATATTTTAAGGACAACTTGGAAATCAGGAAGATCCTAACTTTCCTAAGCTCAACAGTGCAAAACTATAAGCTTTTCATTTGAGAAGAGTGTCCTTGGGATGCCTACTTATTCAGGGATACCTGCTTATTAAGGGCTGCCTAGGGAAGTATATCCCTGAGTTTAGGCGTCTAGGTACTCAGACACTACCACAACCGGTGATCTTAGGGAGGGCAGCTACTGATCAAGCTGGTGGCTGACCTTGGCATCATCTATATAGTACTGTGTTTTCAGGCATCCAGAAGGTAAAAGTTATGGGATCACAGAGGCTATTACCCAGATTTCAAAAGAAGGTCTGGGAGGCTGGGCAAAAATTTGTGGCAGGGTCCCAGTCTCTGGTAGGATCCCATGACAGGGCAGAGGATCAAGCTGTGAGAGTGAAGATAAAGGTGCAGTGGAGACCCTAGGAAGTTGGAGATGCCAGGGATATCGAATATTGTGGAGGAATGCTGCTGGCAGTGAGTGAACCCAGGTTAGGAGAGAAGCCATGTAGACTGTAACCAGTGAAGTCAGGGGGGTGCACTGTATAAACTCTTTGGAGTCCATATCTCACCAAAACTTTCCACTGGTGTTGGACAAGCAGCTATAGAATTTAATGTTTCACTTGCTTATTTTTAGCCTTACATTAGTCTGATTTGTCTGTTTCTGTATTTCTCTCTTTTGGAATAGGGTTGTTTACCCTGTGCCACTGTATGTTGAGAAGTACTTAACTTTTTAATTTTTCTAGGGACTCACAACTAAGAGTTCACTTTGAGGCTCAGAGGAGATTTGGGACTTGGACTTTTCAACAGTGCTGGAACTGCTAAGACTTTGACAACTTTTAGAGATGGACTAAATGAATTTTGCATACTAAGATGAATGTGAGACTTTTGGGGGCCAGAGGCAGAATGTTACAGATCTAAAATGTTCCCACAATGTCTCATTTCTAGAGGTGTGGCCTGGTTGAAAACAGTATATCACTGGCTATATAACTTAGAAGGATTTATTCTTGTCCCTGTCTCCACTCTTCTCTCTCTGTTTTCTGGCTGCCATGTGTTAAACAGCTTTGCTCTACCATGCTGTTCCATTGTGCCCTATTTCTGCCTTGAGGCTAGCTGAACATGGATTGAATCCATTGAAACTGTGAGCCAAAATAAACCTCTGTTCCTTTAACTTGTGGATGTTAGGTCTTTTGTACCAGCAGTGGACCATGTTGGTCACAATGGCAAAATCATACACTGGCCCCCTCCCTCCCTTCACAACTTTCTCCCTCACTCCCTCCTCTTCCAGAACCCTTGTTACCTCCCACTATACTTGTTCCCTTTCCTCTCCACCTCATCACCTCATCACCCCCATTCCTTTTCATGCTCCCCTCATGCTCGTGGCTTATCCTTGGAGACACCCCATGCCTCAGGATTGTATCCTAGTCAATAGAAAGAGGAAGAGAAAATAGGGGACAAAGAGAAGAAAAATGGGGGACACTTTGTAACAAATCTTAGAACCAAGAATATCTGTCCTCTGGTGGCCAGAATAAAGGGTCCCTTCTAAATCCTATGGAGAAGGGGTATCTTCCTCTCATAGAATTGAAAAATACCAAATATTTTGTGAGGTAAATTTTGGAGATGGAATGAGCAGAGAAGAAAGAAAGGAATAGCATATGAGCCTGACCAATTCCCTAACCTCACTGGACCTCAGTTTCCTTTTCTATAATACCAGGTTGGTCCAGTCTATGATCTGAAACTATATAAGGGGAGAGATGGAGAGATGAGAATCAAGAGTTTTCTTGCCTCCAATGGACTCCTTGAATTCAAGCTTCAACCTGTAGAGGACAGCAGATGGGGACACACTCCCAAAACACTGGTACCTTTAGCTCTCAGCACCTCTCTATCTTGCCCCATGCACATTCTCCTCATCTCTGGATTCCTCTGATGAGAAAGTCAACATAAAGGAGGAGAAGTTTATCTGGACTCATAAATTTGAAGGTTTCATACATGGTCACCTGGTTCCATTGCTGTGGCCCTAAGAATAGACAGAAACATCACAGCACCAAGGGCGTGGCAGAGGAGAGCTGCTCACTTCATAGCATCCAGAAGAAGAGAGAAATAAGAGCCAGAGACTAAGGTGGTCAGGGTATATATAATATATATTCTTCAGAAACATGCCCTGTCTCTTAATAACAAATTAATTCACTGATGGTGTACTGCCTTTATGATCCAGTCACCTTCCCAAATCCCTACCTCTGAATGCTTGAGACTTTTGGGGGACATTTCAATGTAATTTGTAACATTTTGCTTTATGCAGCCCCTTTCTCTTCTTCCTTCTGAACAGACCATTGATCTCTAATTCCTAGTTCTCACTCAGTAGGAGGGAAGATTTTTGCTCTCAAGCCCTATGTCGTCTTATACTGTTTCTGGTACTCTAAGAATCCATACACTTAGGTTATTTCTGCTCTTGATGGTGATGCAGTTTTATAGCAGGCCTTCCTCTCATTTCTCTGGTTTTGTTTTTCTGTGGAGCCACTCAGATCAACCCAAAGCTGACATTCAGAGCTTCCTTGAAAATGTGTGGCAGGCAATATGGTTTTCTCCTATCCTTCACCGTTATTCCCTTGTCTTTCGTCTGTAAGCAGAGAAGAGAGAGCACTCTTCCTGGTTGTGACTGCTTCTCCTCTTACCCATAGGAGCTCATTTCACCCTGTGTGGATGACTTTCTATATATCTGTGAGGATATGTATCAGCGACATGAGATGCTTGCCATGGAAATGAGGATCCTACAAACTCTCAAATTTGACATCAACATTCCAGTTGCCTATCGTTTTCTGCGCAGATATGCTGTGGTAAGAGACAGGTGGCACTTCTTTGTTTTTCTATTTCTATATTGGTCTTCTTTATCCAGAAAGGCTGCTAATTTCCTAACTTTAAAGTTGGCAATCTAAGCTCAGTGTGATGACAGAGCCCCATAATCCCAGCACTCTGGGAGGGTGAGGTATCACGTATTTGAGTTCAGCTTAGAGGAAATTACTGACTTAATGAGACCCTATCTCAAAATTCAAGGGGGGATGCTGGGAATGTAGCTCATTACAAAAGTCTTGGGTTTAGTCCGCCTTACTGAGGAAAAAGATGATTATCTTTATGATGCTACAGAAGAGAGAAGGGCAAACTGCAGGTTTCTACAATGTAGATTTGGGGATGAAGACAGAGTTGTGTGGGTAGGGATATGTGAGAAGTTTATATTGGTTATGGTGGAGTCCACATTAAATTATTATATCTTAGAAGTGGGTACTGTGCATTTTTTTCATGATGTATGTTAAAATTTTTTTCAAACAAGAAAAGGAAAAGAGTTGTTTTGGAGTATGGAATACTTTCTAGGGTAGAAGTAGGTGCAAAGTCACAGTTTGAAGAATTGGACTTTTCCAAGGATGGCTGCTACAAAAAGGGGAAGTGGAAGGGTACAAATTTGATAATTTCTTTTAAGTTCTAATAATTGCAAATTCCACTGCTAGCTTTAAAATCTCTCTATAAGGAGTTTATTTTTGCAGGTGAGGACTATAGGGTGAGTACAGTGTCTGAAGAGGTGTATTATATTGTTACAGCAGAGAGCTGTTTACATTAGTGGTGAGATAATTGGAGATAGAATCTTCTGCCTGGTACTATTTTCTAAATTTATTTTTGAACAAGTCTTTTTGCTGTCTTTAGTGCCTCAATACCAGCATGAAGACATTGACCTTGGCTCGATTTATCTGTGAGATGACCCTGCAGAAATATGACTATGTCCATGTTAGGGCTTCTAAGCTAGCTGCTGCCTCCTTTCTCTTGGCCCTCTACATGAAGAAGCTCAAAAATTATGTAAGTATTTGTGACAGGATTAGGGGGTTATATAAACTGGCTGTGGGTTGAGTAGCTCTTGGTGACTGTTTTAATCACTTTTCTCATTGCTGGTATAAAATACCTGGCACCTACGATTTAAGAGAGGAAAGGTTTATTTTGGCTCATATTTCAGTCTGTAGTCAGCTGGTTCCAGGGCAGGCCAGCATAGTACAAGGAATTGGAAGAAGTTTACATCATGGTGTTTGGAAAGCAGAGAGTCAAGGGAAGAGCCAAGAAGAAAGACAAGCCCTTCAAGGTAGTACATTCAATGTCTTGCCCCACCTGACCAGATCTTGCCTCATAACATTAAGTGACATATAAGCCCCATAATCCAATGAACTTCTAAATATCCTGCAACATGAGGCTTTTAATTTTTTTTATTTTTCAATTTATTTTAAAGAGATTAAGACAAAAGAGGACAGAACAAAACATCAGAATAAAACAATGTAAGCAACCCAACACTGCACCAAAAGACAATCGGATATTAGCAGTAGCTACCATAATGTCTCTCTCTTTGAAATAGTTGAGCATACCTTCACATACAGCAATGCCAAACATAACAAAATAGTATAAAACCATTCAAGAGAATGAAAGTATTACAGGGCATTCAGAACCAAATAACAGAAAATAAACAATGGATACTATCTTATCTCATTTTCCATGTAAAATTTATTTATACTATCACACATAATAAAATCCAGTAAGGCACAACATGATAGAACCAATGGAAATAGAAGAACAAAAACACTGTAGGACTTCAAAGCAAGATGATATTAAATCAGCAATGGCTAGCATAATGTCTTGTTATCTTTAAAAGAGCTGTTCATATGGTCATACATAATAAAATCAAACAAAATAGAATAAAACCATTGCAACTAATGAATGAAAACATTATAAGGCTTCAAAGCAATGTAATGGGGCACATGATTACCATAAAATCTTATGTACTCTTACCATTACCTACACTAGGGAGACTATATGGTATTTATACATGTGAGTTTGATTTATTTGACTTACGAGTATTGTCAAGTTGCATCCATTTACTTATAAATATCTAATGTGATCATTCTTTACAGCTGAGTAGTATTCCGTTATGTAAAAATACCATAGCTTTTATGTCCATTCCTCAGTTGATGGACACTTAGGTTGTTTCCAAGATCTGGCTATTACAAATTGTGCTGCTATAAACATGGGTGAACATATATCACTGTGGCGTGATGTTTTCAGTTCTGGAAATATGCCTAGAAGTAGAAGAGCTGGGTCAAATGGGACTTCCAATCCCAGCTTTTTGAGAAATCTCCAGACTGACCTCCACAGTGGTTGCCCTGGTCTATACTCCTACCAACAGTGCAAAAGAGTTCCCTTTTCTCCACAGCCTTTCCAGCATTTGTTGTTGGTAGTTTTCTTGATACTGGCCATTCTTTCAGGAGTGAGATGGAATCTCAGTGTTTTAATTTGCATTTCTCTAATGACTAATGATGATGAACATATTTTCATATATGTATTTGCCATTTGTAATTCTTCTGAGAGCTGTGTATTCATCTTGGTCTGGCCATTTTTGGATTGGGACTTTGAATTTCAGGGGGCTGATTTTTTTAGTTCTTTATATTGTCTAGACAGAAGTCCTTTGTCTGAGAAACAGTTCACTAAGATTTTTTCCCAATTTATGGATTTTCTTTTTACTATGCTGGAGATTTCTTTTGACATGCATAAACTCTTCAATAAGACGTGAGCTCAGGTATTGATTCTGGGAAGTATTTCCCATGTGGTTTGATTCCTGCTCATGAATTCTCTACCTATCCATATGTCTTTGATTTTTATCTACTTTGTCTTCCAACAGATTTAATGTTTGTTTTAATATTCAGATCTTTGATCCATTTAGATTTTAGTTTAATACATGGTGATAGGCATGGGTCTAGTTTTAGTTTTTAGCATATGGAGAACCAGTTTTTCCAGCACCATTTAGAGACTATCTTTCCTCCAGTGAACATGTTTGACCCTTTTTTCAAAGATATGATGGTTGAGTGTGTTTGTAGTTGTGGTTGTATCTTCTAAGCTATTCCATTGATCTTCAGATCTGTTTTTATTCCAGTACCATGTTGATTTTATTACAGTTGCTTTGCAGTATAACTTCAAATCAGGAATTTCGATACCTCCTGCTTTGTCTTTGCTACTTAGAATTACATTTGCTTTTCTAGGTCTCTTCTGCTTCTGAATGAATTTTAGGAGTGATTTCTCTAATCTATGAGGTATGTTAGTGGTATTTTCATTGAATCTCTATTACAGTTTTGGAAGAATGACCATTTTCACAATATTTATTCTTCCTATCCATGAACAAGGGATGTCTTTCCATTTTCTGGGATCTTCTTTGATGATTTCTTTTTTCAGGATATTATAATTTTCCCTGTATAGATCTTTTACTTCTTTTGTTAAATTAATTCCTAAATATTTCATTTTTTGGATGCTAGTGTGAGGTGTGTGGCTTCTTTTACTTTTCTCTCAGTGATTTTGTTGTTAGTGTATAGGAATGCTATTGTTTTTTGAGTATTGACTTTGTATCTAGCTACATTGCTGAATTTATTTATTATACCTAGTATTATTTCAATGGAGTTTTGGGTGTCTTCTGTGTAGAGTATAATGTTGTATGCAAATTATGATAATTTAAGTTCCTCTTTTCCTATTTTTGCTCCTTTTATTTCTCTCTGTTGTCTAATTGCTCTGGCTAGTATTTCCAGTGCTATGTTGAGCAGGAGTGATGATAAGGGACATCCTTGTCTTGTGCCTGATTTTAAGGTTAAGGCTTTCAGTTTTTGGCTATTTAATATGATGCTAGGTGTTGGTTTGTCATAGATGGCCTTTATCATATTGAAGTAAAGACCATCTGTTCCAGTTTTCTGTAAAGTTCTTTACATGAATGAGTGTTGAACCTTATCAAAAGCATTTTCTGCACCTATACAAATGATCGTGTTATTCCCTTGGCTCTATTGATACTCTGGATTACATTTGTTGACTTACGTATGTTGAACCATCCCTGCATGCCTGGGATGAATCCCGCTTGGTCGTGGTGTATAATCTTTTGATGATTTGCTGCATTCTGTTTGCCAATATTTTATTGAGGATTTTTACATCTATGGTTCATTAGGCAGTTTGACTTGTAGTTTTCTTTTTTAGTTGTGTTTTTCTCAGGTTTTGGTACTAGAGTCATATTTGCTTTCAGGAATGATTTAGAAGAATTGCTTCCCTTTCAATTTCATTGAAGAGTTTGAGGAGTGTTGGCATTAAGTCTTTTTTGTATTTCTTGTAGTATTCTGTAGTGAATCCATCTGGGCCTGGGCTCTTCTTTGTAGGGAAGGACTTAATTACATTTTCAATTTCATTAATAGAAACTGGGTTATTCAGCATCTTCTTGACCCAGCTTTGGTACTTCATGTGTTTGTTGGAATGTGTCCATTCTGTGTTATTGATCCTATGAGAGTAAAGGTTTTTGAAATAGGTGTTGATTTACTGTATTTCCAGAAAGTCTGTAGTAATTTCAACTTTTTCACTCCTTATTGCATCAATTTGAGTTTAGTGTTTCCTTTTAAAAATAAGGTTGGCTAAGGGCTTATAAATTTCATTTATTCTTTGAAAGAACCAACTCTTTGATTCATTGGATTGTTTTCTTACTCTCTATTGCAATTAATTTCTTGATTCATTGGATTGTTTTCTTACTCTCTATTGCAATTAATTTCTACTGAGATTTTTATAATTTTCTCCCTTTTGGCTTTGGGCTTGACTTACTCTTCTTTTTCTAGATGTCTGAGGTATAGCGTTAAGTTGTTTATTTGTGTTCCTTCTGTTTTCCTGATGTGGGAACTCAGTGCAATAAATTTCCTCTGAGGACCGCTTTCATTGCATCCCACAGATTCTGGTAAGTTGTATTTGTATTTTCGTTTGCTTGTAGATATTGTTTAATCTCTTCTTTAATTTTCTCTGTGACCCACTGATTAATCAAGAGTGTGTTATTCAGTTTCCATGTGTTTCTGGAATTTTTGCAATATCTTTTATCATTAATTTCTAATTTAATGGTGGTATGATCTGACAACAAGCGTGGGATACTTTCAGTTCTTTTGCATTTCTTTAAATATGTTCTGTGGCTACTATATGGTCTGTTTTAGAGAATGTCCCATGTACTGCTGAGAAGAATGTATATTCTGGGGCAGAGAAAAAATGGCGGCTTGCTAGGGGATCGGGCGGAGAGTCTCTCCGGAGAAATCATATTAGAAGCTAGAATATGACAACATGGAGAGGGCCAGACAAATGGATAATTATTCTTATTAACCAAGACAGCACAGCTGGAGGATTTAAACTCGTGCTGCGACTGTGAAGCCTGATAACGGGAGGCTGCAAATCCTGCGCCTTTAAATCAGCAAACTGACCCATGGACCCAACAGGAAAAGCTGTGCTGGCTTTTGGTGACTGCTGGAAACTGAGACCTGGGACCCCAAGAAGCAGCCAGGACTGCCCCGCTGCACCAGAGGAGATTGTGAAAGGCTCTGGAGCTCTGAAGCTGAATGCTGTGCAGTTTTCTGACCATTCCACGCTGTGCCAAAAGTGCAGGGAGGGCAAGCGGCGTGGTGTGCAGTAGACCCAAGAGGAGGACCTGCACTGAACCCTGGTGAGTACTGGGGACCCCGCGGCTGCTGAGGTTGGCCAGAGAACATCTTCAAACTGGGCAGTGCCTACCACCACGGGGACATCAATAACACAGAGAGTCTGGCGGCAGACATCTTAGAGTTGGGCAGAACCTACAGCTCGGTGACATCATCGAGTCCCCCTGTAGGGAGGTCTGGTGGAGGACATCTTGAAATTGGGCAGAGCCTGACGCTGTGCTGGCTTCAGCGTCATACAGAGAACTAGTGGAAGACATCTTGGATTTGGGCAGATCTGCTGTCCTGGTGCTCCTGGCACAGAGAGGTCTGGAAGAGAACAGCTGGGAT